GAGATGAGGAAAAGTTTAAAAGGAAAAACGATCTCCACATTTTTTTTTCTTTTATAATGGTGGATGATCCAACTCACTCATTATTCAGATGATGAGAGGAAGAAAGATTTGGGAAGACAATGGTGTAGAAGAAGATCAGAAATATGAAGATAAAATAAGGAGGGAAAAAATTTTGACATCTGTGGAGAAATTCTTGAGGCCATTGCCACAGCTGCACTGAAGGAAAAGTGGGAGAACAAGTGACCTTGGTAGAACTGTACGAACAAAGAGTGAGGAATCAAAGAAAACTTACAAAATCTGATTAAAGTGTTGGAGGAAATTTCTAATATTTCACCTACAAGATCAGAAATTTATGCATATTAGATAAATAAAAAAATATAAAAAGAGAGCAAGAACTAGAGAAGAGAGAAGCCACTGAGAGGAGGAGAAGAAAAAGAGGAACGGCAGAAGTCTCGAGAGAGAGAGAGGATAGTAAAATTTTGTAACTCTAGACATTTTGTATCAAAAAATCGAAGAGAGATTGGTGTGATTTGACATGGGCTGCTGTTTGCAAGAGCAGTTTACTTGCTCTCTGACCGCAGAGGAAGAACCAACAAAGAGAAATAGAAGAAAAGAAACAACAAAGGAAGTCGGAAAAGCAACCACTTTCATGAGTACCATCATGTTCAGCCCAGGAAAGAAAGAGAAAAAATCATGGAAAAAGTGTACGGTAGAACCCAAAATAGAGCTCCGGTGGTGAGCTCAAGGAAGAAGAAACGTAATTTGTAGCTATCCAGATATACGACAGAAGCCACATTGCCAACACACCCTTGATAAAACAATGAAGTCATATAGGTAGAATAATAGGTCGGGACGTAAATAGGCGAAGATCAAAGGGCTACAACCGTAATATTAACTAATCTCTGAGCCCAACGACCTATTACCAAACAATAATTCTACTGTTTGACCACAAAAGAAGAAGAAAAAAAAAACACAATCGAACACCCAGCCACATCATCACCAGCTAGCCTATCACATCTGGACACGTGGCGGACGACCACGCTGACGTGGATCCTTGGCTTCCACACTTAGTCTATATGGTTGATGATAATTCACATGGATCAATGAAAAAATAGGGTGGCCTGAAAAAGAAAATAACACGGCAGACATAGCACTTAGCAATCCTAAGCCAAGAACCACCCTAGATTTGCTTCAATTATTTGTCTCTTTCGGTCAGCCTTTTTCAAATTAGCTTATGCTATTTCAAAAATTTGTTGAGCTTCTCGTGGATTAATATTACTACCCTTCTCCGCATCATTTACTAAAACAGAAAGCGTCCGTTTGGATCATAGGATGACACATGATTGGATTAATCATTTTTTGTCATCCCATATTTAGTTACACTTTATACATGAAATGACACATTCTAACTAATCGAATTAATCCTCTATTTATGGTATAAAATAATCCCTTTGAGGAAGTGGTATTAGTCATCCCAAAATGACCAACAAACAGGATAATAAAATTTTAGACTAATTTATCCTTACCAATAATGCAAATTTATACTATTATAATTATATAATCCTACTCTCACACGATAATATAACATGAATAGACTAATTTGTCTCTAATAATTAATTTTAAAGTTTTTTTTGACTAATTTGCTTTGACTACTAACATAACAATATTTGGACTAATTTGCCCTTATAAATGATACAAATTTATACTGACTATTATATAACCATATTTTCACATAATAATATAATAATAAATGGACTAATTAGCCCCTACTAATTAAATTAAATTTTTTGACTAATTTTCCCATATTCATTATTCTAAAATTTTTGACTAATTTACCCTTATTAATTAATTTAAAATTTTTAACTACTTTGTCCCTACTAGCATCATAATAAAAGGACTATATTGCCCTTAGACTAAATTACTCTTACTAAGCTTATTTTCTTGACCAAATTCCATATAAATACATAATTCTATCAATTGGGCTTTATGAATGAGGACTTCAATAAGCTCAAACTCGACCCAAAGAAAAATTTTCTATATTGGCTTGAAGTCGGTTCATTTAAAGCTCATAAATGGGTTAGATTTTAATTAATTTAACCCCAATTTAGTCAAAACTTAGCCCATTATTTAATTGGATTTCAAATTTAGGTTCAAAAACTCAGTCAAACCTATTTTTAAGGGCCCAGAAGGGCGAAGTTTGAGTGAATGGAATTTTTTATATATCAAAACCCTTGATTTACTCTATAATTCAAAGTTTCAAACTACTATATTTTAATAAAAGTTATAAGCTCAAGCTTGACCCAAAGAAAATTTTTCTATATTGGCTTGAGGTCGATTCATTTAAAGCTCGTAAATGGGTTAGGTTTTAATTGATATAACCCCAATTTAATCAAAACTTGGCCCATTATTTAATTGAATTTCAAATTTAGGTCCAAAAATTAAGTCAAACCTATTTTTAAGGGCCCAGAAGGGCGAAGTTTGAGTGAATGGAATTTTTTATATATCAAAACCCTTGATTTACTATATAATTCAAAGTTTCAAACTACTATATTTTAATAAAAGTTATAAAATAATAAATTTATTATTATTATAGTAAATTATTTTATTAATATTTTATGAAATATTAAATTGCTTTATTAAAAAGAATTTACAAACTAAGGGGTATTTTGATCATTAAATTAGTAATCCTACCTTATCCAATCTCCAATTAAACATAGAATAGGATTATTTTCCAACGTATCTTATTCAACTCAGAATCAACCAAACATTGAATAATTTAGATTATTAATTCGAGAATAACTCAATTCAAGATTAATAATTTGAGAATAAATTATCTCTTATTCACCGTCCACGTATCTACGCCAAGTGACTTTGTAATATTATTAGATACTTGGATCGTGCAATATGCCACGTGTACTCCATACTACCCAATACAATGAATGACTGTGATTTAATGTGCATTAATCCTTCGTACTAAATCTACACTAAACTAAACCAGAAGGTGTTTGTCCGCAACGGATCTTCTGTACTACACCCTGTCTCACATCTTGTCTCACTCCTTATAATCTTGCCAAATGTCCCTTAATAAACCAAACCTTCAAACAACCCAACTTGAACCATGTTAAATTGATTAATCGATTAACCGCACAGAAAACTTAATCTCTTTAACCAAAATCAAGTAAAATAAAAACTCTTTAACCAAAATCACAATTTATCAAATTAAAAAACCCTAAAACCCAAACAACCTCTGTCCTCTCTTCATCATCTTCACCATTCAAGCAGACAACTTGATGATCCGTTGCGCAATTTAACATGCATCACCAACGCCCACAAACATTCCCGCACTAGACTATCTTTCTACCCCATTCACACACACAAATTTTGCAGACTAAAATCTAGCAGGAAAATTCAAGATTTCTCAGAGGAACCCAAGTTTTATTTTCCTTTTTCCTTGTTGGGTTTCTTCAAGGAACTTCCTTTCCATACCGAAAAGGGTTTGCAGGAAGATGCATTGGCATTGCACATGGGAAACATTGTTTTAAACGAAGATGAGATAAAGCCTGAAGATCACGGCGTGCTCATTAGACAAACGCACATCAGGTATATGAACAAAAACACGAGTACTTCGTCAAATTGTAGACTTGAAAACAAGAATGCAGCAGCTAGCTTATTAAATATCCACTATGAAAATAATAATTTTGTTGATTGGTAAACCAAATTTAGATTAAGTTATCAATATTGCCTCTGCCTCGTGGGTGATGAAGGAAAAGTAAAGCTATATGCATCATGCATGACTGGGACGGGGGATATAAAAACACGAGCAATGTAAACTGGAACATGATGATCTTCAGGTTTGTTAAAAAACATTTCTTTTTTCCTTCCAAAAGTAACTTGCCATAACTTCTAACCTCGTGAAGTAATTCATTCTAAACTTTTATTTGAATATTTTATTCTTTAGATGACAAAACTACATTGAAGATATATTTTGTCAATGATATTTTTAATTTGTGGTTGTCTCTCTTTAATTATATCAGGAATTTGGAATTCCAATAGAAGACATTTGCAATAGGCAAAATATTAAGAACATGACACAATTATTACAAGTGAATAGTATGCTTTTGTAGATATTATGTCAACCATTAGTTGCATGTTGTTTCTTATTTATCTTAATTTTTTCCAAGTATTATAGTTTTGCAAGTTTATAGCTGTTTGTTTGTATGTGTGGTCTTTTATTTCTTATTTTTCCGGCAGATGTTGGACCCTTCTACCAAGGCTATGATTTGATGTCTTCAAATTTAATAGCACAACAACATGCATCAATAAGTTTTGTCCAAGTAAGAAAAAACCTTGATTAATTATTTAATCTTATATATATTAGTTTGATAATTTATAATTATAATTCAATATATTTGCTAACTTAGCATTTGTTTTTGTAGGCACAAGAACTTCAAAATAATGATGATACTGATCAACAAGTTGCTAAAGATGAAATTGAAAATGGGAAAATTGAATAAAGATGTTTCTGAAGAAATGGAGGACGAGATTGTGGGATTGCGTTCATAAATTAGTTAGGCCTTTCAATGAAATAATACTTTGTGCTTATACTTCAATTGATTTTGATATTTTTGTTTAAGTTTGTGTTAATAAACGTTCTTTTGACTAAACTGTAGAAGAGAAGATATACTAGTTGATGCAACAAGTCAAGAGATTGCGTTTCTATTTGTTAATGGATTTGAATAGCATAATGTTTCTGTATTGATGCTTATACATTCAGCACCAGATATACCTGATACTTGTTGGTATAGAAGATTGAAAAATGCTCAAGGCCAAGGAAAAGTAAATCTCGGGTATGACGTGCTCTGGATTCTTGATGCATACAAGAAAGCGTTTTTGATGGTGTTTTCTTCTGGTTCTCTTTCTGTCAACTCATGAAACAGATGATCATTTACATTGCTCATTATACCAATTCAAATTGAGAAGTGTGCTAAAGCTTGATCTGCTGACCGTTGTTTACCAATGTGTTTACTTGCACATTTTTCATGTTTTCGGGTACATCAGTGCTCTAAAATCGACAGGTGGGAAGATGATAATGCAATAAGAGTGCCGAAGTACTGTGACTACAATTGCTGTATTTGATTTGTGCCAAAGTAAGAGAGCCTTTGGACTTTTTCCAATAATGTTTGAAAGAAACTATTGAAATTCAAAAGAAGATATCAAAAGGTAGCCTCCCTGGCTGCTGATGCTGTACCATGCATATCAGTATATGTCCATAAACCAGGCCCTATACACCTTTGCACCCTTCTCTTTAGCACATTCAGCCATCCAACTCATACACTGGCTCTCATGGTCAGACATAGTCAACATTCAGCCATCCAACTCAAGAACCTTTTCCTCTCCTGCACTTCTTGTCCATCATCAAGGTTGCACGAGAATGATATAGGCTTCCATAGTGAAAGATGCATTAACACGAATCTTTCTTGGTTTCTCCAAAACCAATCTAACGACTTTCCACAACGCAGAACAAATTCAAGAAATGAAAATGTTTTTCTTTTTTTTCCAATATCAGTAATTTATTCATTGGCTGAAATATTCAAGAACAAGAATAGAATAATCTAAATGAGTTTAGACTTGGTTTAAAAGAGGAGAAAGGGCAACTAAGCAATCAGCATCTATCAAGAACTTAATTAAGCATTTGTATCCAAACTACAAGACTTTTACCTAACTTTTCCAGAACAGTTTGGTTCATCTTCCTTTTAGGCATTTGATCGAACAGGTGGTGAGCTTCGTCCAATTGCCCATTGAGAGCACGAAATCTGATGAGCTTTGACCAAACAACAGAAGCTAAATTAACTTTGCATCCAAAAACAAAACTTCGGAAGCGGAAAAATCCATTACCCGGTGCAAATTTACACTAAAACCAAATATTTTTCTACAAGAAAAAAGAGCTAAGAAGAAACCGAGCAAGGAAACTGCAACATTTCGAGAGAAACTACTCGTTCGAGGCTTATTTGCAGCCATCAGAAAACTTCTGATTTCGACTCTTCCTACAAGAGGAAAAAGAAATTTCTGGAATTAGATACATGACAAAAATTAAGCTACCATATAAGACAGAAAGCTACAAAAAGGAACCCTCATATCTTAATAAATTAGTAATCTTTAAACTACAATTCCTAGGTTCTGGCAAAGAACTAGAGGAATTTTTATTGCAAAAAAAATAAAATAAAATAGAACATTTCGTCATTTCAGCATGCAGGTTTTCAAAGACTAGTTGTGGATAACTGATTGAGCCATATAACCTACGTTCAGAAACTACAGGTTCAGCTTCTCGGAGGCATTTTGTCAAGCTGTTGGTGTACAAAATGATCAAGCTAGCTATAACTTCACTAGGATTATATGTACACTCAGTTCAAGCCTCAGTACCTTTCTGTCGGAGAAGCCTGATGATATTACTTCTTTCTGGCTTTCAAATTGTGGTTCTTGAATACTTGAAACCCCCAAAGTTGGCAAAACAGAGAAAATGAGGCAAAGAGGGTTCCTCGAAGAAACCCAGCAAGGAAATAGGAAAATAAAACTTGGGTTCCTCTCAGAAATCTTGAATTTTCCTGCTAGATTTTAGTCTGCAAAATATGTGTGTGTGAATGGGGTAGAAAGATAGTCTAGTGCGGGAATGTTTGTGGGCGTCAGTGATGCATGTTAAATTGCGCAATGGATCATCAAGTTGTCTGCTTGAATGGTGAAGATGATGAAGAGAGGACAGAGGTTGTTTGGGTTTTAGGGTTTTTTAATTTGATAAATTGTGATTTTGGTTAAAAGAGTTTTTATTTTATTTGGTTTTGGTTAAAGAGATTAAGTTTTCTGTCCGGTTAATCGATTAATCAATTAACATGGTTCGAGTTGAGTTGTTTGAGGGTTTAATTTATTAAGAAACACTTGGCAAGATTATAAGGAATGGGACAAGATGTGAAACAGGGTATGGTACAGAAGATCCGTTGCGGTGTTTGTCTATCAATCATATTCATAGTAAAATAGTAAATCTATCAATCATATTCATCAATGGCGTCGACGAACCCTCAGCCGGTGGCTGCACTGCATAACGTGTTTGTCTACGGCAGCCTCTTAGCTGACGACGTCGCTCGTGTCCTCCTGAATCGTGTCCCCGCTTCGTCCCCAGCCATCCTCCATAACTAGTCAGTTATATCGCTTTTATCTCTTTCTTGCTCATCATTTTTGTTTATGACCATGCCGTATGATGCAATTGTTTTGAATAACATAGGCGATAGAGCTTGTTAGCTCTTCCTTTCTTTCTTTTTTTGTGGTTCTTGAGAAAATCTGTTTAAAGGGCTCGCTTGGGTCCTTCAATTATAACGAGTGTGCAATTTAATTTTACTTGCAAACCAGTTTTACTGACTATCGTAGCCTGCACAAAACGGTGTGCATTTGATATAAAATTTTACCTTAATTCTTCATTTAAACTGGCGTTTTCTTGTCTAAGATTAGTGGGGAGTTTTGCCGGATTCATTATATTATTGGGAGATTCTATGAAGGTATCATTGGCTTTAGTTGGATATAAGCTATTAGATGAACATATTGAAATGATAATAAATCAACGGTTTAATTGTATATAAAGGTAAGTGTGTATGGTAGAATTTCCCTATATTTAGGACTAACCATTTTTGGAACTGTAGGACTAGTTGGTAAACGCTTTTCATTGGATGAAATGCCCTATTTGATTAGCCTTAGTTGGCTAAGTAGATATTTCAGTATAGCTGGATAGACCCATCCGCTGGTTGAAGGCAGAAAAGAAAGCCGATTCTCTTCTTTGTGGCAGGATGAAGGGGGAACATTTATGGGATGCATAAATCTAATTCATATTCAAATATGCACCTCAATTACATGCAGCCGGGAGAACATTTTACAAATTTATAGGGGGACAAATTCTTCAAGCAATTAGGCATTGTTCGTTAACCAATGAAAGAACCTCTTCAGCCCAAACCAATAGCCTAGGGCCCTAGGGTGTCACCTTGATATGGATTGAGATATTGTACTCAAAGAGAGTAGTCCTGCCTATGTAGCAATGCTGGCTTAATGATCTACACTGACTGGAGTCTTCTTTTGCTTGCTTTGTTATTTATCAAGTGGGAGTGACTTGTTAAAAATTTAATGCAAGAAATTTGATTGCCTTGTTCCTGCAGCCATCGGTTTAGCATCAAAGGAAGAGTTTACCCAGCAATCCTACCTATTGAAAATAAGCAAGTATCTGGGAAGGTTGGTTTCTTATACCCTTCTTTTTAGCTTCTTAGCTAGTGGACTGGTAAAAGTTTTCTTGATCAAGGAAATGATTTTGTCACTCTGTGGACACGTTGGGTAATTCATCTATAACATGATCCCATTACATGAGTTGCTCAGTGACCATTTTCATTCAATTTTTTTTTATACTTTTCAGTTCTTCTTTGATACGAAAACAATGTTATGTTTCCTTTCAATTTTGATCTTATCTAGTGGCATCCCATTAGGAGTATTTGTGATATCCTCGAGTATCAAATGCTAAATCACAGATTGAGTTACCAATAGATGAATTAAAATAAGCACTTGTGATATCTGCATATATCAATATTATTACGTACAAATATCTGAATAGGGCATCATCAAATGCTACCTCATAGCAAATGGGAATGGAGGGCATTAATGTAGGATAGAGCTTGGTAAAGATTGATATTTTGATGTTGTGAATCTTGCCCTCCCTCCACCCCAGAATCATTGTTGCTCTTTCCATAATTCTGTGAATTTTGTTAATTATTTTTAGAATTTTCAATTTCTACATCATAGTTCTCAATATGAGCTTCAATATGGTATCATTCTTTTTAAAAAGTCAAATAAAATCATTGATTACAACAAAGGTTGCCTTGACCAAAAGCCAACAAGGCTGATAGGCTAATGGCACGAGGAGAGTATTTTGTTGTGGTACAATGGTACCTGCAGAATGGGGGTGGACTGGATTGTTGTGAAGAGTGATCAGTGGAGTGGTCTTTATTTGATTTTGCATTGGCTTCTCTAACAGAGAGCTAACCGATGGGGTGGACTGTGCATGTGGTTAAGCAAGATTATGCTCAGTTCGATGGGTCTATCTGAGGTGGGAAAAGAATATTGATTTGTTCTAACTAGTGGCTTTCTGAAATAGAAAGTGTTTTATAACTTTATAACATTATAGGTCATGGTTACACATATAACTTTATAGATTGGTTTTTTCCCTTTTTGGTTTTGTGAACATTATATAAGGGAAGAGAAAGAATGGCAAATCCTTTTGATTAACTCATTAAGAGTGAGTTAAACATGTTCATGATATTCTTGGTTTAAAGAAATACCCTTCACTTGTTATTTCCTGTAAATGTTAATTCAGGGATTCCCTAACTTGTCTTTGAATTGATAATATATTGCATAGAAATCTTGATTCTTTGGGTCTTAGTTACGAGCAATGAACTGGAACTTGAATAGAAAAACTCTAGAGTCTTCAAGTCTTCGGTAATTCTTGTTCTTCTACCTTTTGTTTTATATTATTCTAGTTATATATTGAGAAGGTAAGATATTGATAATTGGGCACAAAAGAAGTTGCAATCCTGAGTACAAAAGCTGCTTATTGGTTTGTTGAGTAGTGTGCTTTGTCCAGGAATTTACCAATATATTAGCAGTCCTTTGGCAACTATCAGCCAACCAAAAATAAAAACTATTTCATAAGGCAGTTTTAATGTGATCTAAGGTTATTTAAGTTCCTCAAAAGCACTGTTGTAATGTTTTTCCTTTCCAAAATAGCAAAAAGGACGCACACGGGAGCAAACCCCATATTGCACTTTGTTCCTGCACTTCCTGTGGAAAGTCCTATTCAGCAGTAGGCTTCTAACAATTCCAGACGTAGTCCATTTTATGCCAAAAAATAGCTTAATCTGGAAATCACAATTAGAAGCAGGTGGTTAATCATTTCCTCACTTCTCAGATATACTAGATGGCAGTTCATTTGTTCCTTGTTTCTTTTCCTTGAATCTTGTTACCTGTCAGAATATATTCATGGGCTGCTTTTCATACAAGGAAAAGTACTCTTTTGGATATGGCATGTTCCAATTTTGTTTCCAAGGACACTCCTGCTTCCTGGGTACCTTTTATTGTTTCTCATCGAGACAGCCCTTGTGAGAATCAACCAGCTCATTTCTGACATCATAGGATTATAAATCTCTAAGAAATTCCTACAACTACTGGTACTACCGGTCATGGGAGGTTCTATCTATATTGTTGCTGTTACAATGTGACCAGTGTAATATGGGTAATACATTTGAGTAAAACAGTCACTTCCTGATTGTCTGGCATTCTGAATAATGTTGGGTAGTTGTCATTTGATGGCTCCCTTTTCTTCCATAATCTTCCCAGAAAACTGATATTGCTATCATCCCCAAATTTAAAGTCCAATTGCTCTTCAAGTTCCCCCAATCCACTTCCTATACTTTTGCAAGCTGTAACTCCAAATGTTCCACTGATTGATTTAGTTGTCCACCTCTTTCAGCATCTATATTAGGCTGATTATCCACGTCCATAGGTTTTTCTCTTCCTAGGTGAATCCGTGAAGCCATTTCTAGAGCAGAGCCTTGTTGAAGTCCACTATAGTTGAATCCAGTTCCTCCATGGTTGAGAGGAAGCAGGTTTTATTGGATATCTCAGTGCTTGCATACTCATTCTTGCTTGAATCTTGTTGCAAGTTGTGATCCCTATGTGTGTTCATATTCATAGGATGTGGCAAATCTGTTTTTGAACTAATGTTTTGTTGAAAGTGGGAATGGAAGGATTTGATTGTATTTCCGTTGCCAGTGAAATATGATACATGGACTAATTAACATGCATGGGAACCTTTGTGTAACTGAAGAAATTTCTAATTGGTGACATCTCTGCTATCCTGATCTCCTTTCTTTTTACCCCCCCTTCTTGTGGGCCTTATAATTATAGACACTGAGTACTTTCAGTAATCCTTTACAATGGAAATGAATTATCTTGGATGGGGCACTTTCATATCTCTTGCTTTAAGTATGCTGATTGTTGAGCTATATTGAAACAAGGAAACCAGCCCTGCAGGTTTGCTATTGAATTGGAGCATTTGACCCTTAGAAAGTGGAACACCTTTTCTCTAGGTGATATGATACTGAATCGACCTAGCGTGTTTTAATATGTTGAGAAGCGTATGACTTGAGATTCATGTTGATATTTTTCTGTATAAGCAACAATAAATATAGGCAAGGCCAGATTGTCATAGGAGGTACTTAGAAAGATGTCTTTATTTGTTGATTACACCTATCTTATCTAGATTTTATTGTTCTGAAAGTTTTGTGCAGGTTCTTTCGGGCATTACTCCTTTTGAGTTGCATATTCTCGATGAGTTTGAGGATGTTGAGTATGAAAGGCAGACTGTCGATGTTTATTTGATGGTATGTCAAACCTAACAATAATTCATATCTTGCAATTGCATATCCTTCTCATTGTTACATCATAGAGAATGTATTAAAAAATGACATTTCATGGAGCATAGAATGTTACATGCTCCACGGCATTCAGAAGCTCTTGTTATTGGTGGGAACATCTTTGGTAGCTTCTTAGTGGTGCATTAAAAGAAGAAGTGTTAAAGACTTAAGGCAAGTAACTAGTGATTATGTTATGCAGGATTTTTTTAGGCTTCAGCACTGACATTGACATCTCTATTTTAGTGCCGGAGGTTAAAACTTACAAGGTAAATTGAATGACTTTGTAGGATAGCTCTGAAAAGTTGCAGGTAAGCACTTATGTTTGGAGCAACAAGACTGACCCAAAGCTATATGGAGAGTGGGATTTTCAGGTAATCTCTGGTCCCTCCTTTGGCCGTCATTTTGGAAGTTATATTCTGTTTTGTACCTATTCTATTTTGTGTGTTATTATGTTAAAGTCCGTGTTCCCTTCATGATTTGATGAAGATCCCTCAGAGTAGTCTAGAGATTGGCATATAGCAAGAACCCAAAATTGCTGTTACAAATTTGGGAACTTTTTTCATGCTGTAGCTTGTGATCTTTTGAGACATTCTCCCTTCAACTGCAAATAAAACTAGACTTTTGGAGGCTGGATCTTGGCACCTTAAAGCTAACTTGGAAAATTTGCAAGTAACATAGATTTTCCTGGGTCTTCATTGAGTATTTATTTCAAACGGTACTTTTTTGAAAAAAAAAAAGTCCCATCTTGCATATAAAGTGTGCAGAGTTCTTTGTTGAACAAGTTTTTTTGTGTTCCACTCCTCTGCCCCCATTGAAAAAAGGAGCAAGTCAGAGAGAGAGGGGGGGAAAATGAAAAAAGAGCTAAAATCCTTTATTTCCTCTCTGCCTTTGAATTCATAATTTTACCAGGAATGGCAACGCTTGCACAAGGAAGATTTTATAAAGATGTCACTGGGTTTTATGGAAGAACTGCAGCTACCTGAATCAAAGCCAAGGGTGACAACTTATGAATCTTTCTTTCAGCCAAAAACTGATGGTCAGAGTTGAGCACCTTGACATGAATCCTTAACATCATGCTTCGTGGATCATGACAGGTGATTCATTCATATGTGCTGCAATTTATACAGTGTATATAATTAGCCTATGAACTTGGGCTTTATTTGGAGGCCACTATCTAAGCAGTTGCAATAGGAGCTAAAATAACACCAGAGTGGTTTCATTTGCCTTGATCATGGAACCTGTCCTTGACATGGCCAGCAATATACAGTATCAAATTCTCCATCTTCAATTTTCAATAATTTTTTTTGCTCAAATTTGTATGAAGCATATGCATTGTTATAATGGCATTCACTGATGCGATGTGGTCCACATATTTACATAGTATACAGCAAGCCTTGTGCTATTCGATTCTGGTGTAGCCTTAACGATCTAGTGCATGCTTAGCTACAATGAACCAGTGCATTTATATTACATTGGAATGTTTATTTTCTCTTCTTCTTCTTCTTCTTGGAAATCATCACCCATTGGTCATTTATGGAAGAAAATGGTGCAAAATGTTTGTGCTACCCAGCCGTTCTTCCATAATTTATGGAAACCGTACTTGTCTGCATCCTGTTCTTCCATAATATTTGTGCTTGGCTGCATCCACGAGTCAGAATCTAATTTCCCTCTTTCTCAAGGGACGACCATGTTCTTCTCTGAGTAGTAAATGCGCATGTGATATTTTCAATTTAATGACAAAGTGAGGTAATAGGTAAAGAATGTATACTGCTGCTACCTGAGCGGTGGAGTGGGAAATGAGACTTCTCATTCTATCGCAATCATTTACATGGACAGAACTTAGATAGATAGCAGGAGGAAACATTCCAGTTGGACACTTGCTAATCTGGACTAACACCAACTGATTGAGAGACTCCAAGAACGGAAAAACACTATATTCAATATTCCAGCATATCACAATCATCAATCTGCAGTTCTTTCAAGAATTGGAGTCCTGCTGGAATCAAGTGATTTAGTACATCCTTTCACACCATTTTTCCTTGTAAACTAAAAACTTACGGTCAGCATTATCCTTATGGTTCTCTATCCACGTTGTCATCTTTCAAGGCTTCCATAATCAACATTTCCTTCACACCCGATTTATTTTAATTTACTTGAATTCAAACTCGAGCTCGATCATATGAGTTGAGTCGGAGCTTAAGTGATATAAATTAATATTTTGTATAATTTTAAACAAGAGACATAATAGACATTCACACTCATAAATAAAATTCAAATACACATACTTGAAACTCAATTGAACTCAAACTCAATATGAGTTCTTAGACCTTATGTTAGGCTCGAGTTTGAGTTTGTTGAGCTATCAGAGCTGTATGAAAAAAAGGTCTCTGTCAGCACAAACTCAAACTCAAAATTTGACAAGCAAACTTGCTAGTAGCTCAATTGAGCTCGATTAGTTTGCATCCCAACTCTTTGGTACTTCTTGATTTTATATGGTCTCCACGAGGGTTTGTGACTTTTAGATTCTGAGCCCACCACTAGTTTCTTGCAAGACATTTAGATATGGTGGCTAATAGGCGGCATCCGGTATTCTCAGAATTTTGCGATGCTACCTAGTACACACCTCCCAGTATTAGGCTAGATTTCACCTTTCATTGTTAAAGGTTAAAGTGAATGGCAATAATAATAAGAAGCAGCAGAAGATCTTCGAAGAGTGAAAAAGTTCATAACATAACCTATAACCCCGCAACAGGGTATAGTCATTTTACAAGCCAAATATAACACATTCATCTTCCCTGCAACATGCATATTTTTTATCAGGTCAGCAAGTGATTATTTGGTGGACTGTAAAATAACCTCAGTCCTTCGCTATACAACTATCACAAAAAGGTTATAAAGGGATTCTCTAATGCAATTTTGCACACGAAATATTTGAATGAACAAGACCATGCATTCGAAAGTGAAATTTTCTTGATATTAAATGAAACTATTAACATCAGTGAAATGTCATAATCCTGAAGCGCAGCCAAAGGTAAACATATCTGCTGCTCTGATCAAATGAAATTGGATAAAAAATCAATCTCTAACATCCACTGCTCTGAACTATACTTTCAGATGTGAAAAAAATTCAACAAATGACAGTTTAAACTAAATAGAACATATCATGCTGCAGCCAAAAGAGACTTGGCAGGAGGTAACAAAGCAACAGCTCCTCGTTCAGTGTTTGAGTATTTTCTGTAGATCACCTTCAGCCTATGTTCTGCAGCCATAGAATGGCAGCTAACCAGTAGCTTAGCGCAGTCTCTGATTAAACAAATGATGGAAATGACACAACGTCAGTAAATTGTTATCCATCAGAGAAAAACTTTTGCAACATCAGATTGCTCAGGTATTGACTTACAATATTTGTGTCTCAGAGAATCCAGTATGGAACTTCAGAGTCTCGTCCCAAAGAGGGCTTTTATTCAAGGTGCATCTTGCAGCATAGACTGCTGAGGCAGCAATCATAGATGGACAGTAGATAATGGTTGCATAATTCATCATTGCTAGCTCTGCTAAGAAGTAGACCATATTCTCCATCTATTTTCAATGACAGAAGTTAGTTTAACTTGTCAGAATGTTCACATAAATAAATTATCAAAATAACCAAAATTGGAGTTGAGAAAATGCGCTTACATTAGAATCAGGAATTGAGGCCTTGACAAACCGTACAAGGAACACGTATGGTGTTGGGACTGTTAGGTACCATTCCAGTGCACCAAGAATGCGTTTTTCCATAACCAACACCTGCTCATGAGTGTAAGCTCTATCTGACATGCACACAAAGTCATTCACCTGCATTATTATACACAATTCATCAGATTAACTGGCCCAAAAAAAAATCTGTAAAGATTCATTATTCATACACAACAATTTACCTCAGGAGCCCAGATTTCCTCATACTTGGAAGCTATAAGCATGGCACTCATACCAACTAATTGGAGTTCCTTCCTCAGAATTGTCTGGACAGCAAGGTACCTGTCAACTATGTTGATTGTGAGGTACAGAGTCTCCGGATTGAGCTCAAACTTATGGTGCACTTCAATCAGCCAATCAATCAGAATTGCCCTCATTTTTTCATTTATCTCAGGTTGTGAATGCATGTAATCACCAATTCTGCTCTCATTCTGCATCACGAAAAAAGACAATCATTATTGGAAACAAGGTACAATAGGAAAACCAAGACCTTTATATCAAAGTTCTACAAAAAAGATCAGGATTTTATATGCCTCAGCAAGCTTGTAGAATTTGTAAATATCTTCAACATATTCAACAACTGCCAACTCGTTATTCACATCAGCAGCATCAATATCCACTGTAATTTCCTTCTGTTTTCTACTCAAGCCACAGGCAGCCTTGCTTCTAGCAGTAAGGGTTGAAGATAGAGTTGAGGCTGTCTTCTTTGAGGCCGCTTCACCAGTCTTTTTCTTGTTCTTTTCCTTCTTGACTTCTTCAGAAGATGAACTGATTTCAATTACAGCTTCAGGCTTAGGTTTGGCAACAGCTTTCTTCTGAGTTGGTTTCTTTGCTCTACCACCCTGTGGCAAGACTCCATCAGCAACAGGGGCCCCTCCTTCCACATTAACTGCCACACATTTCTACAATATCCACAAAGAAACTCAATCCAAACTGTTAGTAAAACTGCAATTCAATCTGTTCATAATATCCACAAAGAAAGTAAAAAAGATTAACTCAGAGATAATTAACCCAACCTTCTGGTTTTCAGCTGCTGCTGCCGCCTGTGCATTGGCTAACAATTGTGCACAGAAACTCCTGAGACAACAAAAATAGAAATCATCAAATACAAACTAAACATATTATGATAGTCAATGAAATCAGGAAAAAGTAAAAACAGTGCAAAGCGAAAAAAGCAATATAATCAATTAAAACAAAATAAAAATTTTGGCCGAAATAGAAAAGGAGGGATGGAGATGAACCTTGTAACAGGTCTGGAGATCTGAGGAAGCGGTTTGCCTTCAACAGGACGGACAGTCACCATATTTCCAATGTCTCCAAGTGCACGACGATTTTTTCCTTCTGCTGCCATCTTCTTCTCTTTGACACCTCCAGCAACTCCCTCAACTTCAAGAAAACAAAATGTCGATCAAATGTTCAAGGAACTCAGCAATTTTGATAAAGAATTCAGAATCTAATAAAAATATCTGTATCTGCTCACACAGATTTGTAAGATTCATCAGTCGAAAAAGAAACTAATGAATCAATTTGGGCCATAAAGAAAATCCGAAACCAAATATAAGTTGAACATTTAGTCTAGGATCATTCAAGAAAATCCCATGTTCCGGGTAAATTTAAGGAAAAACTTTTAAGCGCAGGAAAACCTCATGAATGATAAACAGATTATATATGTTTTCCCAGAATTTAGTTCGAAAGAACAAAAATCAAAAGTATTAGATCATCGATATCCAGTGTCAAGAACCCCCTTCTTTCGCAGAAGAAAAAAAAAATTAATAGAAGAGAAAGAAAAAAATACATTTCGTCATCAGGTTTTTTTATCAGTTACTATTGCATCAACACAAGGAGCAATAACGAAGAAAGTATAATCTTTCCAAGCTTAGCATTGAACTTGTACAGAAAATATATTAACATTAAAATCTTCAAACCAAAAGGAGCCAAAAAGCCCCCACGGAAACCATGACCTTCAAGAAATATCAGTCCGTACAAAAACAGACGAAAGAATCCAAAAACCATGAAATTAAAAGAACCCCATCATAATGTTCTTGTTGTTTTTATGAAATATCATGAAACAGATGAACAATCAATAGAAACCAAAAAAAGCCCATCTCTCAAAATTTAACCTTGAAGCCAAAAGAACAAGTCTTAATCAATAATACCTCTGTTTTGTTGTTGAACAACTTGTCTTGAAGCCATTAAAATGAAAAAAGCCTTTCTTCTTCTTCTCCTTCTTTCTTCTTCTCTCTGGAGATCCCTTCTCTCTGGAGATCTCTTCCCTTCTCTTTCTCTTTCTGTCTATGAGAATTGGGAAAGCGGAGAAGAGTTCTCTTTTTGAAGCTGAAGAAGAGGCGCTTTGTCTCCAACGGTCTTATTTTTGTGGAAATCTTGACCGTTGGATTAAGAGGCTGATCCAACGGCTGTCAATTGGGTTTCTAAATAGGCTACTGCGCTCTCTGTTGCCTCTTTTTAGCCGTTGCGCCTGTTCAAAGTTACCGTTTGTGGGGTTAATTTTATAATTATTATAAATGGTAAGTCGGTTATAGCATGATTCTCTACAGTCGCTTCCACCATAGCTTGATGGATTTCGAAAA